TGTATATATATATATATACACGTAGTATGGAGAGTGGAAGATGTAAAGGCAAGGAGTTTAGAGGGGGAACGTTTAAGGGCCTCCTTCTCATGCAATCGTAGCAGATCTGGAAGCTAGGTTTCCATAATTTAACTGTTGATGGTAAATACCACCCCCAACCCCCCAGGTTTCAACACTCAGATCCCTGTCCATCCTCTATTCATTTCTGTCTTAGAAACTGAGATGACCATCCATGAAGTCCTCAAAGTCTGGTTTTCTCTTCTTTTGTCTTCCTGATCTATCTGTCCAATTTAAGTTCTCATGATCTCCAGACTTCACACCATTAGTCCATGACCACCACCCCAGTCCAGGTACCATGGTCTCTCTTCCTGCTTTCATCTTGCTCCCTAACCATCCCAATTAGAATTGTCTTTCTAAAAAGTAGACTCAAGGCATGCCATGTTCTAGCATCATCTTCACCTTACTGCCTCTGGTGAACTTAGAATAAGATTTCAGCGTCTGCCAGTGGCCGCCCTGAACGCATCTTTCTGGCAGACCATGACCCCCTTGCTCTGAGCTTCCGAACATTCTGCTCCTCAAACCAGGCTCTCTCTTCTCAGCCAATTTCAATGTAGCCAGTTCCTTTTGTTGTTCAGGTTTTTGTCCAACTGTAGCCTTTCCACAGGTGCATCCCATGATCACCCAGGAAGCAGCGTCCTGTCCCAGGTTCCCGCCACTGTTTCCCTTTAGAGTACCAATTACTCTAATGGCTTTAAACCATTTGTTTGCTTGCTCACTTCCTATTTCTCCAGGAGATGAGGTGACCCTGATTTTTTTTAATTATTTATTTTTTCCCTACCCCCACCTGTCTTTTTTATTACTATCTCCTCTAAAACTGAACTCAAAGCTTTATAACATACGTGCTTAGTAGAGATTGGTTGAACAAGTGAATGTACCAAGAGATTTTAAAGAGACAGTCAACTGCAAACTTCCCTTTCTGGATGGCAACTAGAAAGTATCCTGTCAAATCACAAACACCAGAGCTCAATCATTTAAAAATATCTAGCACTTAATTGGTCAATGTATAAAATCAAAACCTAGTCACATAAAATGATCCTATAAAAGAGGGGCAGATAAATTGTACTTGCATGGACTAGATAACCCTTCAATAGATAAGCAGGAAGTTTTCTTACCTTATCAGTACCTCCAACATTTTTATTGCCATAAATTGATGGTATTTGATCCCGTAAGTATGAGGACAGATCACTTATGAATTATCTATTCACAGGTAATCAGGCAGACTTTGAACTACTAAAGAAGTAAAAATTTTGCTCTTGGTGTAGATATTTTTCATCCAAAAGGCTAAATTCCCATAAATGGTACTTCAAAATACAAATCCAAAATACTAACTTTTCTTTTTCTAGCACTATAAACTGAGGTAAGGGGGTGAAATAGGTTTTAAAGGCAACTTTTACTGAACTGCTTTTCTAAAAGTGTCAAGTTAGAATACAATGTGCAATTCAATTCTAAATGCTAAAATAATTCTTAGATGACATTTGCTGTGTTGGGAAAAAATTCACATCCTTTTCTTTTTTAGGCTTACTCATTCATTTTAATAAATGCTAATTTGGGGCACTTTGGAATTTATAGAAAATTTGCAATCTACATGTACTTTTAAATTTTGCTCTGGAAACACTAATTCCAAGAAATTAAGAATGTTAGTTTCAAAGGGCTGGAGATTTCTAGAAGTCACCAGAGTACTAGAGACTTAACAAATCTAGACTGCCCTTGGCCAGGGGGTTGGGGGTGGTGTAAGACCTGTCCTGTGCTTGTGTGTCTCTCATCTAAAAGGAGCTATACATGGGCACTAGTGGCTAGTCGCTACTTACAAAAAGTAAAACTGACAGCTCCAAAAGCTGACATTATGAATCTGTCTTTACTAAGCCCCAGTGTCTACAGGCTGAAGGTAATGGAATCCAAGTCTTCTAAAAGAGTATCTTGCCTCAAGGCTATAACTCTAGCCAGCCAGGATAAATTCACTTGTGATCATGCTTTAAATAATGGATTTCTGTGTTTCTACTTCCAATGGTAATACAAACTTACAATTTATACATTACTTCCCTTCTTCCTGGCAGAAGGAATCTACCTTTTCATGAATTGACCTGAACTACACAAAGCTGACATAAATTACTTCTTAAAACAAACTTTCATTAATGCTGGATCATTTTAGAGACCACAAATTATGCAGTATTTTCCCATTTCCTTTGTTTTTTCCATGGTCAGTGATTCTATGCTTGGGTTTGGTCACAGTTTGACAGGGCCCCTAAGTCGGCAGAATGAACTCCCCGGCCTCCATGGCATAGACCAAAGGACCTCATACAGTGCACATTCCATCTTGAGCAAGAGGGTGCCTGTTCTGTGAGACAAGAAAGTAAGGTCTGTGTATGGAGCTACAATTATCTTCTCGCCAAGTTTCCACACAGATTGAAATGGCTCAAAACCCCAAAGCCCAGATTTTATACTCCATTTAGAAGCTAGTAAGAAAACTGGACATTTGCTGGTCAGATACGAAAATTGAGGTTTTCATGGTAGCATTTATATTTTATAAGATCCATTTTGAGCCAAAATGTATAACTATACATCAAACAGTCTCAAAGTATTATAGAAAAAAAAAAAAACAGGAATCTCACTCTATTCCCTATAAACACCCGGAATCAACAATCAACTTTCAGTTTTTTTTTCTATATTTGTTCCATTTATATAAAAAGCCCATATTGCTATTTTCTGATTTATCATTTTTAGACATTATCCACACCCACCTACTTCTTCACACCCATCCTCCGAAATAGCTACTTCTGAAATTTCAGTAATGTCAATACTGAGTGTTTATATTTTTATGACTATGTAAATAAATACAGCTCACAGACACCTAACAGGTATACTGTGACAATGTTTCTTTTCTTGTTTTATTTTTTTACTGACTTTATTAATTGACTCAGGCTTTAATTTTTATTTGTTTTTTCTATGACTGTTTCTAATGGCTCAATTAAACCTTTCATGCACCTTTTTGGACTTTCTTTCCCCTAGACAACTGTATCAGATAATCTTTCAATCTTCTATTTTCTAAATATTTTCTTAATACAGTCTCTCTTTAAATTTAATATGATTTATGAAGAATATGAGAGAGCCCAGTTAAAGGACCCACCAATCCCCTAGCTAGAAGAATGAATAACACAAGACCACACTGGAGAGTATTACTACAGACTTACTGGGGTTAAATGGAAGAATCCTTGAAAGTTCCCTAGGCCAGGAGTGAAAGGGAAAGGGGTAGGTGAGAGAAGGGGATAGAGAAGGTGACTTCAAAAGAATGGGAATAAAATACATGTATTTTCAACAGCAACCTTAGATTTTAGGAGATAATTTTCTAATACTCTCAGAAGGAAAATCATTTCCAACTTAGAATTTTATTGGCAGCCAAACTTAGAATTTTATAGTTAGCCAACCTCTTAATCAAGTGTAAACAGAAGAAATCTATTTTCAGAGATACAAAGATCAAGACATTTACTGCCCTTTGTTTGATGTTCTCCTACAAAAGGCCCGCTAAAGAGGCAGACACAGGAAACGTGGCATAGGCACGGGAAGACGGGGAGCGTCTGGGTGCCTTCGGTAGCACATACTCGCTGGACAGTCCTCTTCATGTAGCCACTCCTGGCCTGCATGGTTTTCTTCACTCTTCCTTATTGTCAGATTTATTATTCATGTATTGTCCCTCTTAAACTGATTTTAAAAAATGTCTATTACATTTATGTCATCGTGTGTGTGTGCATGCACATGTATGGGAGCTCATATGCTTCAGAGGGCCCCCTGTGGGTACTGGTTCTCTCCTTATACTGTATGGGTCCCAGGGATTGAACTCAGGTCAGCACGTGTGGTAGTGAGTGCCTTTACCTCCTGAGGCATTCTGCAAGCCCTTGATTCTCCAAACTCTCCTCTTTTCTCTGGTAGCATCCCGTGCTTTTTCCTCCCCTGCTTGTCCATGTCCAGTGTCTCTGATCTCCATGACAAGAATATTTTAGACTTCTTAGATCTTTTACCCTGTATTGCCTCTTCATAGTATCTTATTTTAGTATTTTCTCTGGTCTGAGGGTTCCTTTTCTAATTAATTCATTTGATGTAGGTTCTGTTTGCTGGTCCTGACATTTTTGAGTTTTAGAGGTTTAGTGAAAGATAAAAGAGAAGTTAGAGGATAATCTCTATAACTAAGCTGAATGGGTCTGTGCTACAGAAATAGAGAAGTATTTATATAACTAAGATTAAATTTTGAACAGGAGTCTTGAAAATATTGAAGGAGTGACAGGAAAATCATACAATAAAACTTTTCAACAAGAAGAGTAAAATGTAAGGTTGAATTAATAATGAATTAACTTAATTAATGGTTTTACATTTAAGTTACACATTTTAATTTTATTTTACAATGTAAACTGTAATAAGTATTTGTTCATTCAAACTATGTTCTCAATGATAATTATTCCTATTCTTAAGTTTATTTACTGTTGAGCCACCATATTTGAACAGAAAGCCATGGCTGCCTATGATGAATAGATCCCAATGAGAGAGACAACCAAGGCTGGCCACAGAGGCTAGAGTCAAAGAGTGAATACAGTTTCTTTCAATGTGTATTATAATATTAAATACCATTCCAAAAACCTTGATGTTTTCTACTGCTTCTTCTAACCATTTCCCTCTAGGAGCCACTAAATCAGAACGAAGTAGAGTAGAACAGGCAGTGAGCCACTCTGCCATGTGCCCGTGCTGGTGCTCGTTTCCTCCAGGTTTTTTAATGACCTGCAGGAAGGGCTCGCTAATGTTTTAAGGTGCTGGATTCTACTACCTTCTTGTTCCAGGTTGACTTATACAAACCAGTCCTGGGGAAATCTCTACATTGATTAATATGAAAGATAAAAATTTTAATCTGTCTATAGACCAGATTCTGCAGTGCTGTATCGAACTTGTGATGTAATCCATATAGCAGAGTGGCTGCCATATCAAAATAGCAAAGGGTTTATGCAGATACAAAAATCACTTGGTAAAATGATTAGGAAAGAGAAAATGCCTTGCTTTTGGAATAAAATAATCATGATATAATGAAAACTAAACCATTTATCAGAAGCTAATACATATTTATTAAATGAATCCATGAATATAAATAAGCAAAAATGAGAGCTATCACCTTTGGATTTGACCTTCTTCCTTAAGACATATTTTGGTATATTATTTTATAGCAGCCTTGCTATTTTAAATGACAGAATTATCAAATTTAATGTACAACCCTCCAGGCCCATGATAAACTGAAGAATTAAATTATTATGTAAATAAGAATCCATTAAGTAATATTTGAACCCCAATAGCTTAGATAAAAGTAGACTTTAGAAAAAGAACTTGTATATTCATTCACCTAATTTAATTGAATATTAATTGGTTTTTTTTATATGTGCCAAGTACTATGTGGAGCAAAGGAAACAGTAGTGCACACAATGTGCATTGCTCCTGTTTGTATTGAGCTCAGTCTCTGATGGAGGGAAAATCTTAGTAAATCAAAAGCCACTCAAATTACTAAAATATATACTTACTATTATGAGAAAGATTTTTTAAAACATCTGTAGCATGTGAAACCACCTTTAAAATCTTACTATTCTGAGAAAATTTTTTTAAAAATCTAAGGTAGGAATTGGCTAGACAGTTAGGCTAAAAAGACCCCAAAGAAAAGTAGTCAGTTTCTTGGCTAAAAGTCAAAATATCTTGGGACTCTTAGCAACACACTCTGTTCCAAAGGCCAAAAATGTCAAAAGTATTTGGGAGCTTGTATCTAATCCTTAAAAGATTTTACGGTTACCTCTTCAGAGGGGGGTATGTTGGAGGAGCAAAAAGCTAGAAAGAAGAAAGAAAGAAAAAGAGAGAGAAAGAGAAAAAGAAAGAAAGAAAGAAAGAAAGAGAGAAAGAGAAGAAAGACAGACAGAAAGAAAGAAAGAAAAAAAGAAAGAAAGAAAGAAAGAGAGAGAGAGAGAAAGAGAAGAAAGACGAAAGAAAGAAAGAAAGAAAGAAAGAAAGAAAGAAAGAAAGAAAGAAAGAGGGAAAGAAGGAAAGAGTACATGAAGTTGTTAGAAAAAAAGTGATGGGGTGATATGGAAGGAGTTGGAGGGGAGGAAGTGGGCATGGATTTGATCAAAACACCCTATATGCATGTATGAAATTCTCAATAAAATTATTTTAAAGTTAAAAAAATCTGGAGCATGTGATGAAATCACCTTTAAAATCGTAGGGCTCGATGCTTTATTTAGAGTACTGAATATAAGGCCAACTCTGAAGACAAAGCAGCACAGAGCAAGGGAGGAAATCCATGGTGGCAATGGAGTCCTGGGCTGGTGGAGGCTGGGATCCTCAGCCTTCTTCATGTGGAGGGCGACATTTCACTCACACTCAGATGAGCAGAGTGAAATCTAATGGGCATCCAGAATTGCATTCTTACTCTTTGTACAACTTTTATATTTCTGATCATTTGTATGCAAAAAAACTTCCCTTTTTGATGATCTAGATTTTATTATAAAATAACTTCCTTTACCTATGGTGATTTAAGGTCTAAAGATAAAAATCCCTGTTTTTTAGTACATTGGGTAATGTCATAAATGTTCTTGGAGGTCTATTTCTATTATTTATAATGAAAAGTTTCTCAAGTTTTAGCATGAATATCACTATCATGTATTGGCCTTAAACTTTCACTTCTCCATGAGTCGCATTTTTTAAATCCAATTTAGGAACTGATAGAAGACTTTATTACTTACAGTTAAAGTGTGAAAATCGTGGACTAGACAGGAAGTGACCATGTTCCTGCCAAGACGCTGAGTGATCTAAGCCATGATGAGCATGGGAACCTTCAGAAAAGGGCCTGTCATCCTGAGAGAGAAAGCAAGGAATGTGAGGAGTGGGAGTCAGGTAAATGTGCTGACCTCAAGACTGGATCTTAATGTGCAAGCTACTTTATACACACACAGTATAATGATAACAATCATTGTAAAAGATAAAATACACGTGTTAGAGAAAAGTTATTAAAAAGGAAAGAAATCACTCATTGCTATGTGGCATGAGATATTTCTTTCCAGTCTTTTTTCTCACATGTAAATAGGATTAGCAAACATAGTTATAAAACTTTGTGCTATTTACATTCATTTTATAAACATTTTGCAGTCACTACTATCTTAACCGTCAACTCAAAGGTCATCCTGTACTATCTACGGGATAGACTAGACTATACTCAAGGATCACCCTGTACCTGTATGATGTACTGAATAGACTATGCTCAAGGGTCACCCTGTACTATGTACTGGATAGACTAGAGTATGCTTAAGGGTCACTCTGTGCCTGTACTATGTACTGGATAGACAAGACTATACTCAAGGGCCACACTGTACTATTTACCGGATAGACTATACTATACTCAAGGGTCACCCTGTACTATCTACTGGATAGACTAGACTATGAGCAAGGGTCACCCTGTACTATCTACTGGATAGACTAGATTATACTCAAGGGTCACCCTGTACTATCTACTGGATAGACTAGATTATACTCAAGGGTCACCCTGCACTATCTATTAGATAGACTAGATTATACTCAAGGGTCACCCTGTATTATCTACTGGATAGAGTAGACTATGAGCAAGGGTCACCCTGTACTATCTACTGGATAGAGTAGAGCATGCTCAAGGGTCATCCTGTACTATCTAGTGGACAGACTACAATTCTCATCTACTATTTTACTTGGCATTCAGGTGGTTTCCAGGGTTTTACTCCCATAAATAACACCGTGAGAACTACCATAAATATGTACCCTTTTCCATATTTAGCTATTGCTTATGACAAATTCTTAGGTGGAAATACTGGGTCAACAAAAACAATCTGATGTTTTAAAATCCATTTAACTAGACTACTTTCCATAATGATTACAGTAATATTCTTAGCTACCCAACAAATATTTAATATATAAACAAAAATGAATATATAAAAGACCTCTCTCTTCATATGTTGTATAAATGTGTCCTTCTCCCCAAATCATAGCTGA